GTGTGTAGTGTGTGTGGTACAGTGTGTAGGTGTGTGTGTGGTACAGTGTAGGTCTTTGGGTTCAAGAAAAGCGCTATAGAAATATAATTTATTATTATTATATATTCTTGGTGTAAAGACCAGCATACCAGAGTCTCAGTGAACCTACCGATCAGCACAATGAGGCGAGGCCTCTCCCCGGGGCGAGGCAGATACTGTGTTACTTCTTCATAGATCAGGAACTCTTTGTGATTGGTGTCTGGAGTTTGAGGTTCTCCTGGTGAAGCTTGGCGATCTTTCCTGAGGCGGAAACTTCTGCGCAGGCTAGCTGCAGTCAAAGAAATACAAATGTAAGCTGAGCGGAGATACATACACCACATTTTATTGCAAATCACACAGATACAAAGAAACATATGTTGCTAGTTTAACTAACAGCAGACTGTAAATTCCATCAATGTTAACACACATTTCAGTAGTTTGAAACAAAGTATTTCTCACTGATTAAAAATGCCACAGACACGCAGAACAACACCGTTAGGAATCAGGAAGAGTACCTGAGTAAAAATCCCATGAGAGAGCATGGCCACAGAAGGCAGGCGCTGCCTTACTCTTGGGAGAAACTACAGCTCATATTAGACCATTTATTCACTCAGCTTAAATCTCACCAACAGAGAAGAAGCTTTGAAGCCATGCATGCTGCGTCTACCAAAAACCAACAAAGCACTTTAGCATGTAGCATGAGAAAGCCATTTGAGAAGCAGAGAGATATACGAGCTGGCATGAGATGCTAGAGAGACTGAAGAGGCTGTCGGGTCCGGCACAAAAAGCCACACTAAACAGTCCAAACACAGAAACTGCTGAGCGAGGGCATGAAGAAACACCGACAACACACAGGTATCACCTATCGTCCTGACATGTTTATGCAGAAAGATCAGTGACGACTAAAGCAGAAGGCCAGCAATGTTTCCCTTTACATCTACAGTTTTCACATCTTTGTCCATTCAAAATCATCACAGTTGTTTCACTGTAAAGGTATTTGCCTCCTATTTTTTGACCAATAAAGTAATGCAGCAGGACTATGTGGCCATACTAAGGAACAATAGTGATTTGAGCTTACACTTATGAGTAACATAACAAAGCTGATAAACAAATAAGTAATCAGTTCTAAGAATCTGGAGTGAAGCTGTGTATATGATTTTGGTTACAGTCATCACTCAGATGATTAATTAAGATGTGAAAATCAGGTCCAAGCTGTGGATGCTTTCAGGCCCAACACAAGCACATTAAGCCACGCCTAGATGGACAGAAAAGCTGGTGAAAGGCTAACGGCCCGTTCACACTACAGCTTCAAAAAAAGCTTGCCGACGGGCGTGTCTGAAGTCGACAACACGAATCTCCCGCCCCTGACACACAAGCAGCGGTTTGATTGGCTAGAGCTTGTACTGGCATATGATTTGATTGGCTGACGCTTCCACCAAAAGCTTCAGAAGCTTCAAAAGTTGAACATTGCTCAACTTTTGCAGCCTGAAACGCCAGGAAAGCTCCGCTCTGCTACCCACAATTCAGTTCGGCGAAAAGCGAGGCAACGTGACGTCACCCCATTCAAAGTGAATGGGCAGACGCGTTGGAAACCGTTTTTGAAGCTGTCGAAGCTGTAGTGTGGACGGGCCGTAACAGAGCGCTGAAGACATCAGTAGATCAGGTAAGGTGAGGGGAACAAACACATCTGTCAAGAGACGTTACATCTGGCGTTTAGTTCAAAATAGAGCATTCAGACTAAAGGCTTACTGTCCTACCCACTCAATCTAAGTAGGGCAAAGCAATCTACTATTACAGTTCATAGTGGGCTAAAACAAATTCCTGGTACAGTACAGTTGGCGAATTCGGTTGACAACTAAGGCATTTATTGTGGAAGAAAGAATGGTACTCATAAACCCTGAGAACCCCCGTCCTAAAGAAAGACATGGATTTGCACACAGACTGAGCAGAAATGTGATGCAGCAGTGATTAGTGTACACTCATAAATCATGGCTCCTCACCTGCGTCCTTTCCATTCAGAGTGCCCTCACTGTCACAGTCTTCTGCAGGACGCCATGCAGGACGAGAAGACAGGGTCAGAGGAGGTTCATGTGGAGGGGACTTTACACTCAAAACAAAGCAGGTTAAAGTGAAGTGACCACGCTAATAATATTTTGAGGCGACTGTAAAAAAGGTAAACATGGGGAAATGGAGGATCATTTTGTGTTTTGGGACTCGGGTGGGGTGATGATAGAATTTGATTTAGAAATTCTGACCATGTGTTCAATACATGGACGAGTGCTATTTTCTAACATGAAGTTTTGTCCACGTACCTCGCTCAGTCTGATCATCTGAGGTTAGCAATGCAAGGAATAACACAAAGCATATAGAGAGTGACAGAATATTACAAATGCTATACTGTGATATCACTGCTCTATGTGAACTGTGATCTAAATGTATGCTTCTTTTGTCTTGTAAATGTCACATCTAAACTGGATCTGAGCTAAGACATACTCAACATATCTGCTTCTACTTCCTTTGCATATTATCCTGAATCATTGTTACATTCAGTTCAAAGAGTATCACCTTAGAAACACATCACCTTAGAAACACATCTTTTTAGAGAACAAACAAGAAAGAAGTGATTTTGCAAGCAGCCGTTGTTTTTCAGACTACTTTGATTAACTGACTTTGAAATGGGATCAGGAAATGAAACAGTGGATTATGTATTTCTTTTAGAGATTAACCTCTGTTCTCTTTTTTTAATCTCTCTTTCTGCATCTCTTTGGCTAAATTACATTCAACAAGCAATATAAACTGTATCTGTGGTTCTAAGCCTATTGTACATTTATGGTTACACTGCAGGTTATTTGTGAAACGGGCTTACATGCAGGAGCTTTGGGGGACATAGGGGCTGGAAAAGAGCCTATTGTCCTCCTGTACCTCAGGCGCCTGGAAGGAAGAAAACAACAGAAAAAAAGTGAATTTCTCATCTAAAAAAATGCCACCTTGTCAGATATTTTTCAGATCCTTGACATAAAGTCTTTATCAGTTATTTATTTGACAGCAGAGATGACTACCTCTCCTGAAACTGTTTGGAGGGGATGAGAGCAGCGCGCAGGTTACAGTCGCCCATCCTCTTGGCCTGCCACCAGGTGGCGTCCTCCTGGCTCACAACCTGGAGGACGTCCCCCCTCTTGAAAGGAAGTCCCGCCTCCTGGCACGGCGTGGCCTTGTCCTCGTAGGGCGTGTAGTCAAACAAAGCCCGAAGGTAGACCTTTTGGGAGCAGGAATATTCTGTAACTTTAATAAATAAACATTTGGATTGTATGGGGGAATATAGATTTAGGATGAATGGGTCAGATAATGAGTCCTCACCCTGCTTTCCTTCAGCGTGTCTTCTTCTGCAACAGCTGGGATGATTTTCAGTGTGATGGAGCCTTGTGACTGGGACTGAACAAAAACAAAAACATCAGTGAATAATTGTAAAGAGTATGATGATATGACCCAAATCTTTTTCCCCCATTACCAGAATCTGACTAATTTCCTCTGGCTTTTTGTTGGTTATCAGGTTCCCATTGACCTCTCGCAGCTCATCCCCTATGTGCACCAGCCCTGGAAACACAAACACAGCACACACAAAAACAAGTCCGCTGAAAAAAAGCCTACCAGCCAAGCAAAACACAGCAAACATAATCCCAGTCTGTGGAGTAAAAGTACTTTTAGAGTTTGAGGCTCAGATATGAACCACAAATCACACAGTTGTCTGTTGGCATGAAGTTGATAACATCTCCATGGCTACAGCCCAAGCAACCCTCATTTGTAATCTGGAAATATGCAATCGTGTGGCACTAATCTCAAGGATTTGTTCTCTGTCGACAGTTCATAGGGGGTTGCACCACTTAATCTTCTCACTTCTCTGTCAGTGTCAGCAGAGATAAGGAAGTCCTGTTGAGTAGGAAGATTTAAGAGAAATAAAAAACATATTGCATTATGGTGTACGACGTTAACACAGTTCGACTCACCACTGCGGTCGGCTGCCCCCCCCCTCATGATCCTGGCCACGATCACAGCTCCTGTCACCTCGTCTCTGCGGATGGTCGCTCCCTGATGGAAAAGACGAAACGATGAATCAGGCTCGGCTGTATGTCATCTCCAGTTCACTGAGCCGATACAATCCTCTGGTACACGGTGAAAGACACTCCTCAAGTGCACATTGTTGGCTTTGGCAGGAATGATCAATAACCTGTTAGAGCAAATGCCAGAACCGTGTTACTGAATGTTTTAGATACTTGATTATCCGGATCACCTCCGTGTCTGTGCTTGATTTCTGCTGGCTACATTCACAAAAGAGGGTTCCTGTTAAAACCACCTAATAAGGGAAAATAGCAGATGTGTCCGACGGGTTAAATGTATTTGCTGTGAGGATTGGTGTATGTTGTATAGCATTACACACAGTCACACCATGGGGTTTTAAAGCTGCCCCATTAAAGTACATTGAGCTGTTAAAGCCACACCTGAGGGCACAACAATAATAATCGAAGGAAGGGCTCTTATTTAGAAATATCCTCTGGTGTGAGCAGGCCCTCACCAGCGGCTCTTTGTTCTTCACCAGACGCACGATCTTGACCGACTCTTCCTCCAGGTCGTCGTCCACGTCCTCCGGCAGTGGCGGCAGCACCGGGTCGAAGTTCTTTGGGCCACGGTGTCGTGGGCTGACAGCACCGCCTTATGAAGACAAATGCACAGAAGGTACAACTTTAGAGCCTGACACATATCCTACACGAGCTGGATTGCTTTAGGTTTCACAGATGTCATCCCTTTCCTATTCTCATAAAGCCAATACCTTGTAAATAATCATTTGATACGTGTAATTAGGCAGCTCCGAGTCTGGCGTTATGTAAAAGACGATCAATTTAGAGTCAAATCAGAGCAGCTCCGGCTGAAAGCTCAGAAAACCAGCACAATGAGATGATATCAAAAGGGGAGACACTGTCGAGCGTACATTACGTCGTGTAAGTGTGAGGAAGAAAACTAATGTGTGTGAGAGTACCTTGAGGTGAGGAGTGCTCAGCAGGAGGAGCAACTCTTTCTCATCGCCCTCGAGTGGACCGTTCTGAAGCTCTTCTGCCAGCTGAGGATACGAATGAGAACAACATTGCTTGAAATATTTCTATGTGTTGTGCCAAATCTTTTCATTAAACACATTTACTTAAGAAATGTGCATGTGCTGAGATGGATTGTGAATGTTTACTTTGACTTGGTGATGAAAGATTGCACTTACATCCTCGGCCAGACAGGTGGCGCTGTGGAGAACTGGAGTCGGGCTCTGTTTCTCATACTGCTTCAGTTTGTCATGAATCTGGAACGTACAACACACGCAAATATAATCAGATACACACATTTTAGGTTAAAACAAAGCCTGGATTTTCTACCATTATACATGTGAAGAGACACAAGTACTATGCTGTAGTATGTGAGTATGTAGCTTCTGGTAAAATAATCTAAAACTATATACAGTATATCTATGACAGGTCCGATTTGTGCACCCATGTCAAGTCTGGAAGATACTAGACACACATTCAGATGAATTTTTATTTGCAGCATTGCAGTTTTTTTTAAAGATGTTTAGGTTTTAATGCTAGACCTGACTAGATGTCCCTTTGTCCAACACAGTATTTCAGACATATCTGCTGTACCTTCATGAGGTAACTGAGACTCTTCTCACTGAAGACATTTCTGAGGAAGACCAGGTCCTCTTTGTGGTTGGCGTCAGGGTGGAGCTGAGAGGTGAGCAGGGCCAGAGTCTCATGCAGCCCTGAGTCATAAAAAACGGAAAGTTATTTATTAATCAGACATTCAAAAACCCATTCTCAGACAAGAGCTCCTGAAAAAATAAGCTTTCATATCATCAGAAAAGCATAACAAATCAAAAGAGATGAGTAATTGTTCATATTTTCAAATCTGTTTTGCATATTGAATGCATTTTAATCTTCTTCAGGGGTCATATGAATATGAGTAGGCATCAAGAACAAAGTTCTTGCTTTGATACGAGTTCATTAAAGTAATACCGGATTATCCTCTTTTGCTAACAGCCGAAAAACAAATGCTGCGTGGATAGACAAATCCAAGTCCTCGTGAAACATAAGAGGTTTCTCAATACTCAAATTTCCCCTCCTCGACTCCTCGGTCCTCCGGTAGTGACCGGGAAATGAATTTCAGCGCGCCATGTTGAAGGACATCTCATTTCTCTAAATGCACATCGAGGACCGAGGATCGAGCGTCCAGGAGGCTCTCTGGAGGAGCTCTAACCGAGGAGATACTGATGGTTCCTCCACGGCTCCTCCACGGATGCATTTCCGGGAACGGTGGAGGCGTGACGTGCATTCCCTGGATATTATTTTAGAAACTGCTTTCATCGCATCGCGATATTTCCATAGAGAACAGCTGTGAGGTCCGTGCAGAAAGCAGAGCAGTGTGTATAATATATATCACTCAGTATAACAGGCCTACTCTCTTTATTTGCTTTAGTTTAGTAGATATCTACAACAAAGAGTCATATTTTTCTAAACATTTAGTGCTTCACATAATAAAATACACAACGGCTGTAGCCTGATTATGCTTTAGGAGCTGTAGGTGTGTGTGGTACAGTGTGTAGGTGTGTGTTGTACAGTGTGTAGGTGTGTGTGTGGTACAGTGTGTAGGTGTGTGTGGTACAGTGTGTAGGTGTGTGTGTTGTACAGTGTGTAGCTGTGTGTGTGGTACAGTGTGTAGGTGTGTGTGTGGTACAGTGTGTAGGTGTGTGTGTGGTACACAGTGTGTAGGTGTGTGTGTGTACAGTGTGTAGGTGTGTGTGTGGTACAGTGTGTAGGTGTGTGTGTGTACAGTGTGTGTGTGGTACAGTGTGTAGGTGTGTGTGTGTGTGGTACAGTGTGTAGGTGTGTGTGTTGTACAGTGTGTAGGTGTGTGTGTGTGGTACAGTGTGTAGGTGTGTGTGTTGGTACAGTGTGTAGGTGTGTGTGGTACAGTGTGTAGGTGTGTGTGTGTGGTACAGTGTGTAGGTGTGTGTGGTACAGTGTGTAGGTTTGTGTGTTGTACAGTGTGTAGGTGTGTGTGTGGTACAGTGTGTAGGTGTGTGTGTGGTACAGTGTGTAGGTGTGTGTGTTGTACAGTGTGTAGGTGTGTGTGTGGTACAGTGTGTAGGTGTGTGTGTGGTACAGTGTGTAGGTGTGTGTGGTACAGTGTGTAGGTGTGTGTGTGGTACAGTGTGTAGGTGTGTGTGTGGTACAGTGTGTAGGTGTGTGTGTAGTACACAGTGTAGGTGTGTGTGTGGTACAGTGTGTAGGTGTGTGTGTGGTACAGTGTGTAGGTGTGTGTGTGGTACAGTGTGTAGGTGTGTGTGTGGTACAGTGTGTAGGTGTGTGTGTGGTACAGTGTGTAGGTGTGTGTGTGGTGCAGTGTGTAGCTGTGTGTGTGGTACACAGTGTGTAGGTGTGTGTGTGTGGTACAGTGTGTAGGTGTGTGTGTTGTACAGTGCTAGATGCAGAGGACAGACGGGTCTCAGTTGGTTTAGTGTCCTCTGCTTACTTTTAATACTTGTACAACTTTTGGCCCGTAATTTCAATTCCGCATTTCAGCGACCAGAGAGAGGGGGGGATATATCCAGTCTCTGATTGTGTTACGTTATTATGAGAGTGCTGAGAGGGAGGCCAGGAACCAATGGGTGTGTGTGTGTGTGTGTGTGTGTGTGTGTGTGTGTGTGTGTGTGTGTGTGTGTCCGCATCTGTAGCCTGTTTTTGTCTCATTATACCGCACTCTCAATGAAATCAAAGTAAATATATAAGTGGTCATGAACACATCTGTCCATCAGACAGAGGGCTGCTGTGCCTCCTGTCATCATTAATGGAAGTCTCTTTAAAATGACCGCTCAGAGGAGAGGAGTTCTCATTTCTCTAAACCGCCTGCTGCTTCCTCTCCTCGGCTCCCCTCCTCAGTCCTCCGCTCGCATCTCCTGTGGGTGGGACTAAGTCTCGAGGATAGGAGTCGAGGAGGGGAGTCGAGGAGGGGAAATTTAAGAATTGAGAAGCCTCTAAAGACTTCCTGAAATTCAAAACATTTCCTCTTTTGTTTATTCCTCCAACATTTGAATTTTTTTACTTATTTTCCATACTATAGCCAAAGATTTGAGAGAAACTACACATCTAACTTTGATGTATTGAATGTTGTTGGAAGTCGTTAAATCTAAAAGATGTGTAAAACTCACAGAAAGGTTTTTGTATTAAAACTTCTGTTTGGTGCTGATGAAGTTTCTAATTAAAACATTCTTAATATATTCTCTGTTTAACCCCCCTGGAAAAAAAGCTAGATATTTTAGCACTTGCATTATTTAGAAGCATATACTGTATATCAAATAGAATCACTAACAATGAAAAAAACGCGATCACGTGTCTGAACGTACCTGTGTTTGCAGACACGATGGGCATGGCTTCATCCAGAGGAGGCAGGAGGGTGCAGAGAGAGAGGAAGGGGGGGGTGGGGGGAACTAAAGCCGGGGCACGCTCTCCACTCCTCTGTCTTCCACGTATGGCTAATGTGAAAAATCACAGCTGGAAACAGAAAAATACACACAGTGAAAAAAGTGGATTAAATTAAGATTTCTCCGAATTTAGGACCTTTTTTGGTTTTTCAAATATTAAATCTAAAACTACACAAGGTTGAGTATTTTTGACAAAACAAATATTTGAAGACCGACCTCTGGTGATGCCGATGGAGAACACATGAGGTTATACAAATATAGCTCACTTGTAAAGCATATATTTTCTCATTAAGAATGACTTCCTTATTTAAACACATCTTGAAAGGGAAGCCGGCCAGCCGTGAGCCGTCCATTACAATAATGAAGTTTCAATATAATGACTAGCTGCTTTCATTACTGAGCCATGGCACATTCATTTTAAAATGAAGATAGTGAGGCTCAACCATTTTGTCCAATAGGATGCTTCACCTCGTTTATCACCATGGCAATCCTGTAGTGCCAAATACTGATGACTCCCTGCTTTCACATTTCAATAGCCTCCCTGAATAGATCAATTAAATGATTAGGTCCCATTATACACTTGGGTTGGTATTGTGTGCGGTGAAGCATGTAGCTTCGATCTGCCATCAATTTAACATTTCCATTAGGATCTTAGATTTCTGAAATCAGTTGTTTTGGATAAGAGAAGATATATTGATCTGTGAAGGGAAAGGGCCCGTTACTCCTATCCATGTGCATACATTATTATTTAATTTAACAAAAGTACAATAACATTATTCAGTAAAGATATATTGGCACCTTGATGTTTATGTAAACATAGTAATCGTTTTCTAATTTTACATTTGTTGATTTGACGACATTTACATTACATGTAAGCGACTAACTTCAGTACTGTGGACAATCCCCACAGGAGCAATTTGGGGTGAAGTGTCTTGCCCAGGGACACAACCACATGCTGACTGCAGTGGGACTCGATCTTGCTATCCCCTGATTAAAAGTCCAGCACTCTATCCACTGAACCACAGCCTCCCTTATGGTTATCATATATTAAATATATTTTGTTGAAGGTTATTTACCGGACAAAACAAATAATGTGAAGTTGTTATCTTCCAGAAAATTGCGCTCTAATTAAAAAATATATAACTGTATAAGAAGTATGACTTTGCTAGCTTTTTAAAATCAGTCTTGTAGGACCGGTCCTTTATTTCAATTACTTGAACAGTCTTAACATCATTTTATTTTAAAGCATAATTCCCCTGAGAGGTAACTGGTTTTCGCAGGTGTAATGACATTAACCAATCAAAAGGTAGCTAACATTTTACAGATTAAAGTGAAAAGGTTGCCTTTCTTTGAACGCTGCACATGTTCCTCCGCAGCTGGCAGGGTGAAGACTGATCTAGATTTTAATGAACAGTCCGCGGAGTTAATCATGTGAAACAGCAATTTGTTCTTCACCTGCTCCAACCCTTAAACTTATTCTGGCGCAGTAATAACACTATAAATCATGTCTTTACCATCTAGTGGCTGATTTTCTGCTCTAGTGATGTTGAGTTCTTATTCCTGCAGACATAAAATCTATGTCTACACATTTCCTTTTTTTCCAGACCTCTTTCTAAATGTAAACATTACTTTTGTAAAATAAAGTCTGTTTTCCACCTACAGTCCACATGGTGGTCTGTGTGAAACAAACAGAAAGTGTCAGTCTGTGTTTGCTCTGAAAGCAACATTTACTCTGAGATTGAAATAAGAAAACAATTCAGCAGCGTGTTCTGGCTCAGGTTTGACATCTACAATCACCACAAACACGCTTCAAGCCAGAAGTTGTCAATGTAACAATCTGTCAAATGTATTTACTGCTCAAGACAAATGGGTGAAAATATCAGCCTGGTGAGTTTCTTATTGTAGATCAGACAGTGATTGTTTGTTGCTGTAGAGGTCTGTCTGTGAATACCACACAGCAGTTAAAAAAAAAAATACTACTTTGCTTATTTTCAGTAATCCTGTGTCAACATCTTTGCCAAATGTATCAAAAAAGTTATTCACAACTGTCTTACGATAATTACATGCTATTTTCTATGATCAAAATGTCCCCTGATGGGCTGGTAACAACAGAAAAAGAAAAAGCTGCCAAGCGTTTTTCTGATTTGGAAAGTAAAAGTGTCTGGAGGGGCAGGACGGCAATTACAATAAACAGAGACAAGTAAAACAATCATTAGATCGATGAGTGGTTATGAAAAATAATCATTGTAAGCTGCTTCGAGGCCATTACACATTGTAATCGACTGTTACTGCAGTCCATCAGCAGCGTGTTGATATTGATAGCACCATAGCAAACATGTGAGATAAAAATTACCTTCCATACGACTTACTGGAAGATGAACGGGTCATAAATCGTATTTTTGCCTTTCGTTCAGCGGTGTCGACAAACAAAATATATATGAATTCAAACAAATTATGATTATGTTTGAATTAGACTTATTTCCCCTGCCTTAACGGTCACCTATTATGCAAAATCCACTTTTTTAGGTCTTTTCTACATAAACATGTGTCCCCTCTGCGTAAAGTGACTCTGAAAGTTTCAGGAAAGATTCGCTCACTTTTTGTCCTGATCCATTTCTATAAAAACCTGTCTGAAAATAAGCTGATCAGATTTTGGCCACTTTATGATGTCATAACAATCTTTTGGCTTGAGTAACCATTAGCCAATCATCAACCAGGGTAACCCCCCCCGCCCCCACCTTATCACCTGAATCTCCTCCAAGAGCACCATTGTGTTCTTTTTAACCAAATCTCTCTCAGAGGGCCGTGGGGAGGGGCTCCTTATTTTCATCTGAAGTAACAGACAGAGAATCAGCACTTTTGAAACAGGGCTGAAACAGAGGGGATTATGGGTAATGCTGCAATGATCTGTTTGGTGTTTGGAGCCAAACACTTCAGAGACATGTTTGTTATATATCTGAGACCTGTAATATATTGATGAAAAACAGTATAAGAGGGGACCTTTAAAACGGAAAGCTGTTTTTTGCCATTTGTCGGCCATTGCTCGATCCCTCTCTCCATTGAGAGAACTTGGTCTTCACAACAAAGCTGACAGTTTGGGTTAAATCCCTCGCTGCTCCTGGTGAGCCTCCCTCTCTACACACTTGGCCAGCGTTCCTGACCTTCTTTCTCTCTGCCTTTTCCTCCCTCCATCCGCCTCTCTCTCTCTAATTACAAGAGGCTGAGAAGAGCTTAAGACCGGCGTCGCTCTGTTTTTTTTTATGTCACTCACTGAGTCTAAAATACTTAAGGTTACCACCATATGGTGGCATTATCTATCCTCTCCTTGAATTAAGACAGCAAAGCTGGCGGGTTGTGCATCACTGAGGATTTCAGTGAACACAATGAAGCAGATTAGAAAGAAAGATCAGCAGAGAAACTGAGAAGCAGCGAAGGCAGCCGGGGCAATACTGAAAAGCATTTACCTTCGCTTTTATAAACAGAAAGAAAATCATTTAAAAATGTACTTTATAGCAAGAATAACTCGTCAGCAAATAACTGATTTGGTAATCGACAGAAAATCTATCTTTTAGAGACATTTGTTCATTTTGTTGAGCTCAATTCTGTTACAGTTATAAACAAAGACATTTCAGTAACATTTATAAAAAGACAAGTCAGTGTCGTCCTTGCTGTAAGACATGCTATCATCTTGATTTGAAAGGAGTACAATATTTTGATTTGTTTGGAAGAATCGTTACAGGAAAATTATTAGCCTGATTTTTATTCAACTTTGGCGTATGTCAAAAAAAGGAACAAGTACATATTTGTGCATAGAGACAAATAACTTCTCACTTTTGTTAACATTACAAGAATGGGCACGTCTTTGGCGGAGGTCATGCACACTACCTGTCCTTCTAGTTCATTATTTGTTAGCCTGCCTTTTACATCATTTGCATAAAGATTGAATTATTCATGATTTGTTGACTCCAATTGTCAAGTTGATCTTTTTAACCATCTCAGTAACGTCCGTAGGGGAGAGGGATCTGCTCAAGGAGACGTCAACAAGCAGGCTGTTGCATCCTAAACTATTTCCGTCTTTCTCACCCTCATGATCTTGTTTACCTTCGGAACATTTCAAAGATTCGTCCCATGCTTTCCCTAGCTGATGCTGAAACTTTAGTCCATGCTTTCGTTTCATCTTGGTTGGACTACTGCAATTCACTTTTCTCCGGGCTACCAAAATCAACAACCGCCAAAAACAAACTACAACTGGTTCAAAACACAGCTGCCAGGATATTAACCAGAACATTTGATCATATCACCCCTGTTCTCATTTCATTGGCTCCTGATTCAAATAAGATCAGACTTCAATATTTTACTGTTAACCTTTAAAATCTTACATGGACTAGCTATCATCATTAATTACCCCACGAATATCTACCAGGCTCCCACGATCACATAATGCCAGTCTCCTTTCCATCCCCAGAATAAAAAAAAAATCATCCGTAGGTGATTGACTCCTTTAAAAGCAAACCCAAAATCTGTTTTCCTTGTCAACTCATTTCCATCACCTAGCTTCCATTAGCATCACTTCAGTCACATGCGTTCATCACATGGCAATACTTATGTTGTTGTATAATGTTTTTATAATTTTCATGCTATGACGTTTGTATTTAGTTTTTGTCTTTGCTTTTGTTCGCTTTGTACAGACCTTTGAGGCATTTCTTGTGATTTGGGGCTATAATAAATGTTGATTTGATTTGATGTACCACTACACATCCTAATGCCTCACCAGCATTGTGATAAAAGAGCTTTCATGTTTCTCCTCATGGGTTTTCCATTGCTGGTGCTCACATTAGCTGTGCCGGATTATAACAACGCTTCATATTCACATGTCTCCTCTTATGACTGACAGTAAATCCTCACTGATTGTTCCTTTAATGCTCTGTCTGAGTTTTGAACTTTTTCTCTCCGTCTGCCTCGTTGTTATTTTATCCAAACAAATCCTACTACTGAACGAGGCACAATCTACAATCACGTCTGCGTAGTACTTTATTTAACAGGCATTGCTTTCGCAGAGCTTAACCTTATGCCACTGTCCTCTCTCTACTCGCACACAAACATGAACGCCACCTGTTTTCCAGACTTTTTTCCTGTTGGACGTCCCGAGAGGGAGCCAGAGGGGCGAGGTCATCGACGCTCTGCTGATGCCATCTGCCCATCCCCTGTGTGTGTGTGTGTGTGTGTGTGTGTGTGTGTGTGTGTGTGTGTGTGTGTGTGTGTGTGTGTGTGTGTGTGTCCATCCTTCACCTTTGATGCCACCCACATGTCTGATTCGACAGATTTCATTCCAATATCCATTTAGGAAAAGCTGTACACTCATAAGTGTATTACTGTAATCTATAGCAACTACCCAAAAGAGGTACAGCCATACAACATAATGTTCCCTGTGCTATTTGAAAAGTGGAAAAGTTTAATACGAATATGAAATGTTAGAGAATACATCTCAGAGCTCAAGGTGATATCGTCAATCTTGGGTGTTTAAATAACATTAAATAATATCAGAATAACTTCAGAATATCATATCATAATGTTTCTTTGGACCCTAATACAATACTTTGATATCACAAAGCCTGCAACAATAGAACTTTGATTTGATTAAGTTGCGGTTGTTATGTGTCATGGGAATTTCACAAATCAATATATCCTTACAATCCTACTTACATTTCTTGTTTGAGTTCAACAAAAACTAAAATATGTTAAGTTTTAAGGATATATTAAAAAAAGATCCAGAGTCTCTTATTGGCAAAGCCTGGATCTTATTTGGTATGTTTCCACTGTTTTTGCTTGATAAAGACTAACACAAATTACAAATGAGCTGCCTATTTTCCCTTGAAATCCACTAATTGCTTAATCCTAAAGTCTGTCCGTTAACAGCTGTAACTGTGTGTAGGGTCACAAAAAAGGAAGTTTATCTAATGCTAGCCTGAAAGAGATTTACTTTTTAATTGTGCTAGAAATAAAATATAATATATTGCAGAGGAGGTCAAGAGCAGCTTTATAGAAGCTTATAAGAAAAACATCTCTTCAGTACACCTTCAACTCGCCCACTCACAGCTGGATTTAAAAAAAAGAATCTCTTCTAGATATTGAATTTGGCTCTCAGTCTGAGGGAAAATTGAGTGTCTCATTTCAAGATTTCAACAGCCAAATAGGTTTTTAGGTGGAGGGGGAGGGCCTTGACATGCTCGTTTATAAAATGCCAATCTGGCTTGGAGGGGGGCCAGACTTCAGAGGCTTTTTGACTGATAGCTGATGTTAACTCCCACTAAGCCTATAATGACAAGTGTAAATGTACTGGGTGTGACACATGACTGAAAAAAAGTCCTCCTTATAATCAATTAATCTGATTTACTCGCATTAAAAACACCATATTGTTTACCATACTGTATGGGGAAATAAATAACCATAAACAAAATATAAGTTCCTATTCCCTTCCTATCTACTTAAACTCTGTTTAAAAACCCTGTGTATAAACCCTGACCTTCATTGTATTTCTCTAATCCTCAGCACACCAAAAGGAGCCATAACCATTTAACACAATCCAGCAGCAAAGCGTGACCAGGTCAATTTATCAGGAGATACATTAAAAAAGGGGCTAGTAAGGTCATTTTTTGTCATTTAATTAGCTCAAACGTCACATTTAAATGTACTTTACTTGGATATTGCAGTCTGTCTTGGTGCATGTCATGACCACAATGGCCTCTTCTACGCCATATATGGTGTCTGCAATCAATCACAGGTGATGCTCAGCCCTCATTAACATGCAGCACAGACAGGCCACATGGTTTTACTCGGGAATGTAAAAAAAAGATCCCTTAGTGAAGAAAAAACAGAATAGGTTTGTTTTTATTTTCTGTGCTAATTAGTGCTACCTGTGAATGTCTCTGGAGCTGTTAATTTCTCTTTGTCAGAAACACATGAAGTTCAATCATTGCACGTAAAAGCATCCTTACCTTGCTGAGGCTCCTCTGAAATTCCGCGTGCTTTTTTAACCCCACGCCGTCTCTCTTTATATCCCGAGCGTGTTTTCTTTAGTTTCTTTATTTCTCTGTGTATTTCTGTTTAGTGCGTCTTCGGCTGAGTGGTTTTATTTCTCGGCTCCATCCAGTGTGTCTCTCAATGCGCCGCCCCTTCCCTCCCTCAGTCAGGCTGTGGGTCTGCTGCATTCAGGAACTCCTCGTAATCTCTAACATCCAAGGTTCCCTGATGGAAATACACTAACACTGCTTGTTGCTGAAGGGGGAAATTAGGAGAAAATGTGCGTTTGATAAGGAAGTTCGAAACACTAACGTACAATATAATTTATCTTGCTGTGTAAATCTTTGAATAATTGTATTTATGTGAGGTACGTAGGGGCTACTTTTTGCCAATTATTTTGGTTATAGCCTACTGGTTTCAATTGTTGGATATTCTGAAAATAAAAAAGGTTTGTTGCTGGTTTTAAAACACGCTACAACTGAGGACTGAACCAAATGTTAAAATAGGGTAGATTTTATGGAAAGTCATACTTTTGACTGAATTTTCAAATGTTCCTGGCTCCCATATAAAACAATGAAATGATGGAAAACCAATCACCGTAAATCTTAGGGTATGCTTAAATGGATTAGGAAATGTACATACACAGTAAGGATTCAGCCATGTTACTGTACATGTTGCATACAGTCTATGGTTGCACTTCTATCCTTCGTTGTATTACACATTGTTATACAAAATAAAACTCTTTCTGCCCTGACCCTTGTATTCACACTGATACAAAATAAAACACGTTCTCACCATTCAGGAATCATGAAAATCTCATTGTTGGATCATTCGGAGAACTGAGTGTTTGTACTCTTTCTATCAGTTCCTGAAGGCAACACAATGTGCACATATGCTGCAAGCTGCACGCCTTTTTCGTCCGCCTCTTTCAAATCCATCCATTGCTATCTATGATTGCTATTCATCCCCTCACTCCATGTCTCCCAGTGAGTGGTACAGTACATGCTTTGGCTGATGGTCAGAGATGTTGAATGAAAAATGGACCACAACATAGAAACACATAATTCACAACTCCCTTTATATGTCTCTCTTTTGTGTTTTCACTTTCTTTCAGTCCCTCTATCTTGTATTTTTCACTTTTCTTTGGACCCTTCTCTCATCTGGTTGGCCTAGTTGTTGCAGCTCAAAGAGACCTTGATGTGTTCAGACATTTGTGACAGTGGGAGAGGAGCAGAGTCACTGCAGTTTCCCTGTGATCACACGATCAAATATTGGCTCTGGGTTTTTAAAGGGATGATGAGAATGCATTTCATCTTAGCTCAGTGGGTCAGATACAGGATCAGAGCTCAGCATTGTCCTAATGAAAGACTCACTGTCGCACAAAGCAAAAGGGAGATATTGTTATAATTAGGGATTATATCTAAAGGGTTTAAAAAAAACGAAATGATACAGAGTGATGATAAAAGCAGTTTTTTTTATTCAACCTTCTCAAAATCAAAATGTACAAAAGGATATAATAAAAACAAATCTCACATTAAATAATTTCATTCATTTTCTTTCTTTTACAAAATGTTTTGGTTGATTTGTTCTGCATCCTCCCTCCAAAGGAAATGACGAGTTTTCAGTCCTGAACGCCATCCAGTTTAATCTCTGATGACGAGGTCGAGTCAAATGTCCGAATCTGGTCTTTGCTCCTGTTTAAACATGCAATGCAATTAGATATATTGTGTCCTGGTTTATGTCACACATAAAAGGGCGATTGTAGTGTATTAAAAAAATACATCTTCAGTATTTGAGATTAAATTCATACATTTCTGAGAAAAAATGCTCAATTCTCAAGCAAACACATCCCATGGCTTTGAGAGGTTGGATCAAACTCATGGCAAAGCAATTATTATTTATTTGACCTACAATGGTCATAATACGGCTTCCAACACAATACATATACAAAGAAATCATCTTGCAAATCCGTTTTGTGAATAGTATCTCACTAAAGTCATGTTACAAAATCATTTGAAAGGAAAATGTAAACTGTGAACTGCTACTAAGACTGTCACTACGAAGCTTTTCAATTAAAGAGTTGAACATTGTTAGAGACACTTGATGACATCTGTTATTCTGGACTCACAGCGTATGTGGGGTTTTGGAAAGACCCAAAACTCTCATCATCAATGGGTTCCAACCGCTGGAGAAAAGAGAAATAAAAAGCTTCAATAACTCAAAACATAATCAAGCACACATTCACATTTAAACATTTCACTGCCTTCCTTTCTATAGTTGACAAAACAGTAATATAGATAATTTATTTTAAGACTTTTGCCTGCATTAAAACATTCAAAGCATTTAATTATCCATGTTTTCAGAAACTGAGCTGTTTTAGGAAACAGTTTAACATGCGTCTCCATGGTTACCTGTATGCTGGAAGCAGGTTGTTGGGTAGAAGCGACGTCGATATCTTCCACGTCTGAGCCGAATGACGGGTTCTCAAAAGGCTCCTAAAACAGTAAGGGGAAATGAAAAGGGTTTAAAGGATTAAACAACAACATAAAACTCTCTGGGATTGAGTTAGTTAGAACTTAAAACCTAGTCAAAAGGATTAGAGATTTATTGTATAATATATCTGTCCCTCTCTCTGATTTGTCTTTGTTTGGATTTGTATTTTTAACTTGAAACCCTCGTGTTATTATATGTATCTAATTGGTTGTGCAATTCAATTAGTAATGAATGTGAAACAGACCATGTTGACAGTGGGTGTGTTTGCACTTCTCGAGGGCTCGTCCACAACTTTAACTTCCTCCACATACAAAGGGTTCATCATGTTCCGCTGAGGAAGGAAACACAGTATATCATATTTCAAATGATTAAACTCCAAAAGCAGAAGTGATTCGCTGCATCGGAGCACAAAGTAATGCTTTTACTGAACCTTTCTCGGTAAAAATCACTTTAATTAAATAAGCAAAAATGAAAACAGCAGATACAAGAAATACAGCAAGTTAATATTAAAAATATAACATTGCAGCAGTGGGAAAGAATCATAACGAAAAAGTCTGTTCTTGATACTACAGCCCTTTGGCATGTCATCTCAAACTACTGCCATGTAGCACGATATGCAGCCAGCAAGCAAGAGGGGGTATTTGCAGAATCAATGAACTCCACAGGGAGGACTGATTTCTGTTCCTCTACCTCGTTTGCGGAGGTAGCTGCCACTGCGCTCGTGGAAGGAGGTTGTTCTTCAACTTGATATGCCGGGTTCTCAAAACTCTTCACGTCTGTTTCCAACATGGACACCGACATACAGGGAACCTGACAACAAACAAGTAGACAGAAAAAGTCCATAGTAATAAGCACTTTGTTTATATGAAGAGTTGATAGTGCTTGGTTGCCTCCTGAAACCTGGGTCTGAATAGGAAGCAGGTTTAAATTATTGAGAGGGCTTTCAGGCTCTGATGGCAGACCTTTATTATCCACATTATCATGACAGAGAGGATATCAGAGGACAGGAGGAATAATGAGAGAATAGTGGATGATTTATGTCCTTCATAAATGTTTCACGCAGTGTTTAAATGTTTCGAATATCATTTATTTAGATATCAGATCAGTTTTCCAGGGGGATATTCTGAGTTGACATAGCTTTAGGCTGCTTTTGTTGCTGCTTTAAAACACGAATACATCAAAATCCTGTTCAGAATGTATTTATCAACCCTTTTTCCTGATTGACTGCTCTGCTACTTACCGCTTCACAATTCAGCCCCGCTTCACTCTCCTCTGTTCTCGATGCATTTGGAGACGCACTATTTCTATAAAAAAGAATTGAAAACACACTATTCAGCTGAAACAATGCTGAGCGGTACATTACATACAAAGAAACCTTGAAAGTGAATGAGACACTTATAAAAGAGAACTTAAGAGTAAATAGGAGATTCAAAACACTCTGTATTGAAAGCATATCATTAAACTAGTAGAGTTAGAATAAAACTGTGGACATGTGAGGAAAAACATATTTTAGATTTATTAGGTTTCTGACAGAATTAATCTATTGAATCTTTTAGAATCTGGCTTCATCTCACCTGAAGCTTGGCAGGTTGGGCATGGAGGGCATGGACGGCATCGAGGGCATACTGGGCAGAAGGCTTAACAGGCTGGACTTCTTCCTGGCAGCATAGACCAGAGCTCCCAGCAGAACCACGATCAATGCTGTCACCCCGATCGCTATGCCAACTGAGATCAGACACAGGAAAGAGCAAAAGGCAGATTATTAATAATGAAATAAAGTTAACGTTTTTAATGTTGTATGGTTACATTTCTGGCTTTAAAATCAAATATACTTGAGGATGTGACCGCGTCATATTTGTTTTTCTGGCAGTAATCTCCCGTCCACTCTGGAGGACATCTGCGAAAAAACAAAACAAACATTAGAGTTATAACAATTTAAAATACTGAGGTAATATACAATACTTGTTGAATGAGTTTTGTAAATTCATTTGAGCTTTTTGAAATGTACATTTTGTACACTTTAACTGCTCTACAGTGGACAATATTCATGTTATCTCAAATTTGAAATTGAAAATGCAAAATAAACAGAGTAACTTGATTTCAATTTGTTCGAGCAATATTTCCGTCATAATAAAATGACTCTTAGAATTTGAAAGTGTAAAAGTTTGACCTTTAAAATTTGCATTATCATTTTCATTCAGTCCATTTTGGCTTCAACATTGAAGACTAACACATTCCTTACTTGCAGAGAGCCTTGTTGTCATCAAAGTAACAGGTGCCTCCATTTTGACACTGACACTGTGGGGGCATGGTGGGCGGGGGATCAAAACCTGAAATAATAATATATATTAAAAACCATCAAACCACTGTTACTACCCCAATGGGGAAAAAAAATACATCATATATATATAATTTGAATGTCGTAAGGAACGTGACTGAGATTAATATGTTAGTAATTAGTATTTATTATTGTTATATTGCTTTATATTAACTCTTACATGGTATTTGAAACGTTATTGAATCCCTTCATTAGCTTTCCTGACTTATTTTTTTGATATTGAAATGATAGTTGCAGGAAAAATAATTCAAAGAGGAAATGATTCAAGTTGTATCAATATCACTGCAATTGAGGTCTGAGATTCATTCCTGCAACTTCAACACATGATGCCCCATAACTGTAATTCACTGAGTCTTTAAGCACCTGCATCACACTCGGTGTGGCTGCCGGGGATGAGGCTGGTCCCCTGGGGGCAGGCGCAGGTGTACCCCCCCGGCCGGAGCAGACACAGGTGGCTGCAGGTTCCCTTACACGGACTCTTCACTGCAGAGACAAGTTGAAGTGCATGACTCGCATGTTTTTGAATTGTAATCAGAAAAAGACATTAGATAGGTATGATATCAATGCAGTGAGCAGGATTCTGCTTTCTCCTTCCTCCACGAGTGTTTCTATTACTGTGAGGATTTCTTCACTTTTTTCTGTCCATCCTACTTGACTTTCTTCCTAGTCTTCATCTTGAACTGTGTAGAAATACCAGGTTTAAAAAACATGAAAAAACATGCAAACATTTCCACGTCATGAATATGAATCCTTAATAAAGCTCAAAACTATTGGGTACAGCCCTATCATAATGTCTAACGGAATACAAACATAATATATTAGTCAATAAAAACATAAAAATAAACAATTATTAGTTTTATAGATAAAAAAATACAGACATGATCCTTTTAGGGTGGTATGTACGGCAAACTAAACAACATATGGACATTATAGTCTGTAATACAGCACAGTATGTGTTACGGTACGTCCACACAGCAGCGTTAAAAAAATCTTCCAGCGCTTCTCTGCCCATTGACTTTGAATGGGGTGACGTCAGTTCGCCTCGCTTTTCGCCGAACTGCATTGTGGGGAAGCAAAGCGAAGATTTCCAGGATTGTCAGGATTCAGGATTCAAAAGTTGAGCAATGTTCAACTTTTGAAGCTGAGCTGGAAGCGTCAGCCAATCAAATCCCGTTTATGCAAATCTGACAGTTCAAGCGCTAGCCAATCAAACCGCGTGCAAGATGGGAGAGCCAGACCGCAGTTAATTTCCTATATTCCTGAAAAGGGAGGAGAAATTAGTTATTGCTGTAGCAAATCACCCGGTTCTTTATGACCAGTCGCTAATAACTTACCGGGATACAAACCGGAGGAACCAGGCATGGAGGGAGGTGGCAGAGACAGTGGGTGAAACTGGTAGGTTTTCGCCTGTTTGGAGAGTTTATATCCAGTTTACTTCGTTTTAACATTGCTATTGCTTTGTATGTCGGGGGCGGGAGATTCATGTGATTGGTTGTTGGTCGCAAAAAATCCCCAAGCTTTCAGACACGCCCAGCTCCAAGATTTTCAAGATTTTTTTTAAGCTGCTGTGTGGACGGGCCGTTACTGTGTGTGAACATGTGAGTGTAGCTTACTATCTAGTGAGTTGTATCTCTGCTGCTGGTACACAGAGACCTGGGTCAGCCACGGCCCCGCGGTCAGCAGCTTGGTTTTTGATCCGCGGCCAAATTTGTCCTGCCGAAACACTTCGCCTTTCTCCTGAGTGCTCCAATAAACGTGATCCTCGAACACACTCACACTGAAGGGGTTCCTCACATCTAGAGTAGGAGAAACAAAATGTGTAAACCTTACAGTCTCACACACAACCTCTCATGTCCGCTTCCTTCCTCATCCTCATCCTCACCGATGTAGACGGCAGTTCTGCGTCCCTCTCCTGAGGGCAGAACAGACTCTATGCGGCTCTCCTTGGAGTCCGACCAGTAGACTCTGTCGCCGTTGGTGAAGTCGATTGACAGACCAGTCGGCCAACCCAGGCCGTCGCTCACCAGGACTTTCCTCTCCTGCCCATCCAGCCAGGAGCACTCGATCTTGGCAGCTTCCCCACGGTCCGCCCAGTACAACATCCTGCAGAAACAGAGCAGAGGTTAGATATCTGCGCTCTGAGATAAGGTGCATTAAGGTGTGTCTTCCTTTAAGGTCTTTCATGGAAAAAGTGCAAAATACATTTCTGATCTTCTGCTTCATTGTGAACCATCCAGACATGTCAGTTTGTCTGGGACAGGTGACCTTTAGAAAACTAAAGTCTCACCCCAGTCGTGGGTTGACGGCCACAGCAGACGGATGTCCCAGATCAGTCTTGACTAGTTGTTTTCTGTAGCGTCCGTCCAACATGGCCACCTCTAACCTCTTCACCCTGGAGTCTGCCCAGTAGAGGTTCCTACAGGCAGAAAAATAACAAAACTACTCACAACATGTCTTTTTATCAAGAGTGTTCTTTCTCTATGAAAACAAGGGAGTATTTTGACTTTAGGGACATAATCAACTAAACTTAAAAAAGCTTAATTTGTTGATTTGATTGAAGGTTTTTATGTATCACATTCATGTAAATAAAATAAATAAATAATTGAAATGATCAAGACTGAAGGACTGTGATCAGATAAATTCAGACGCACCTGCCCACCCAGTCCACAGCGATGCCGTCTGGTGTGGTGATGTATTTAATGCCGAGGTCGACAGCAGCACCGATGTTGTTGCTGCCATCGTCCACTGAGGGGATGTACGCTCTCTTAATGGCCCCCGCTGCAGAGTCCTTACCGGCTACAGTGAAGTACACCACACCTGAAGAAACAAAAGGTCACCATCAAACAATTTAAGATTTGTCATTATTGATTTTTGTGTGTTTTGAGCTGTTTTAATCTGTGTAGTAACCCACTGAGTCCGGTGTCGTTGTGGTCCCAGTCGTAGTCCAGGGCCATGATGTGCTCCTCTTCTCGGAGGAAGTCGTGGTAGGCCTCCGTCTGCAGGTTGAACCTCCGGATACGAATGTTCTCCGGAAGAAGCAGCAGGGGGGTCGTTCCTGAAGTACACAGACATTTACTCATTATTACATTAATTGATTTATGAAAAAGTGGGAGCAGAAACAACTTGTATTTTTCTTTATATTTACCCATCTATTTATTTCTCTCCACTAATCCACCTCTTCCCACATTTCTACACATCCATCTGGTCACAGTTTGACACACTTACACAACACACTTGCATACATGCATGAAAACACTTACAATACACCCACTAACCACTGAGAAATCTAGCATGTCTAAAGAAGTTTCATATGTCTTACTTGTGTTAATGTCTGTATATTTCATTCCATCGTTATTGGTCAAATGTATCACTTCTTTCTTTGTACTGTGACGAATTAGAAATAGAAAAATAAATAAAAACGTCTTGCTCACCCTCAGCCTCGCACATGTTTCCGTTGCCCACTTTCCGGTAGCCTTGGGAACACTCACAGTCGTAGCCGCCCTTGGTGTTCTTACAGACCTGAGGGCAGGTGCCGAACACCTCGCACTCATCGATGTCTGCAGCAGAGAGAGGAGATTGTGAGAGTTCAAGTTTTTCACTGTTTGGCACATATGGTTTTTAACTGGAATGATGAAACTTTATTAAACATTCATATTTGTATGTAGTTTCGACAGCAGAATCATCTGCGTGCAGTCAGAACCAGAATACCTTTATTAGTCGCACAGAGGGCACATTTACATTGTTACAGCAGAAAAGAGCCAAAGACAGCTTAATGTTACCTAAGAAGCAAAAAAAAGTATTAAAGATTAAAATTAGAATAAAAAAAAGGTTACACAATTTACAAAATACACATCCTTTACCAGTTCTGAGGATTTGGCAGCCAGGTATATATTGCAGTTATTAACGGCACATATATATATATATTGCACGTATTGCACATAGTTGGTTGGTATTTAACAACAAGGGGTGTTATAGTCTGTGTTGTTGTGTGTGGGGGGGGGGGGGTCTACTAGGGGCCATGGTGGTTATATAGTCTGACCGCTGCAGGACCTGCGGTATCTCTCCGTGAGACAGTGGGAGTTTCTCAATGTCGAGGACGCTTGCTTGGTAGCACATGTCTTCCGAGCGTCTTGCTTCAGAAGCGAGGCAAGAATACTTCCTAGCATTCGGAAAACGAAGAGTGGAACAGGCTAGCAAGTGTGCAGGTGTGCGTCATATGAGAGGCCCCGCCTTACATTTTCCACCACAGATTTTGGGAAATTGGTCCGTGCGCAAAGCATTGTGGGGATTTTAAGACGCGGAGTCTACACATGTGCAGAAAGAAATTTCTCGCTACGAAGTTCGCCGGGCTTGGTAGAATTCCAAGTATGCTGGACATTGGAACAGTCCTTCGGCGGCACTCGATGACGTAGTATGCTTGAAATAGTGGCTCTGGAGCAAGGTTCCTCGACATTGAGAAACACCCACTGTGTGTATAAGTTCAATAACAGCAGGAGGATTCCAAAAGAGTGTGTGTGTGTACCCATGCATGTGTAGGTGCTGACTGGGTCCACGGTGTATCCGGGCCGGCAGGAGCAGATGAAGCCGGTGCCGTTCAGGTTGGTGCACTCGTGCTGGCACAGCTTCTCATCACAGTTGCGATCTTGGCCAAAATCTGCAGCCAAACAACGCAGAGCGGAAAAACTCAGACACGTTTAAAAAAAGATTTGGTCTCTAATGTAGGAGACGCTTACTTTTGATGAAATACAACAATGGCTTTGTTAACATCATCAGATTACTGTCTAGACTCCAGGTCCCAATTATTCCCTGCACCATCATGTATACTTCAATAAAAGATCTCAAAGGATATTTACGTCCTCTGGTGATCTGACATGGCAGCCTCAGAGTTTTGCTTTAACTGTGTCTTATTTTTAAGAAGCTGACATCTAACAGGTTAAAGAAAAGAGACAATTATCCTATAGTTACGCATTCATCATCATTATAAGAACATTTTTCTTATTTTTCGAATAATAAGAAAGGGTTCCTAATAACAAGAATCTTATCTTATAATTACAAGATCTCTTTTCCTCATTATTTAACACTGCATGAATGGATGCATTAGTCAACATTAAACTAAAAATAAAGTTATTATTATAAGAAAAGTTGGAGAATTCAATGCGCTAACTTAAAAGATTGCATGTCCAAATTATTGAATAATATCAAGAAAAATATCTGATATTTATTCAACATGTGCGTCATCTTTTTCTTGTAATTATATAATTCTATATATAATGTGATCTGCTATTATCTGTACACATAATGTAGCTATTCTTAAGTTTTTAAATATTGAATAAAACATCTAGATGCAGATATCTGTAACTTGGAAACATTATGAAATCAGGGCAAGGTCACACTTGATAGCATCGTGTAATAACCGCTATTAAAAAAGAGGATATTTATAGTCGGTGTGTTGGCGTGCTACTCACTGCAGCCTAATTCATCGGTGCGGTCCCCACAGTTGTCGTTGTGGTCACAGACGTACGGCAGGGCCACACAGTGTCCGTTGGTGCATTTAAACTCTTCCAGAGTGCAGGGCGGCAGCGTGGGCTCGCGGCCTGAGAAGGACACAGTTAGAATGAGTCATCAACACAAGGACGCAGGAAGGTTGAGTGGGTACTAAACCATCTGTAGAAACACGTCCACCTCCACTAGTTTTACATTTAACTCAGAGCTTTTTCCATACTCTTCAACTGTGTATATAGCCAAAAAAAGATGGATAAAGTGTGTGAAAATTGGACTCCCACATAATATTCAATTTAAGGCTTGTTTACAGCTCCTACTGTGAAACAACAAATGGCTTTAGACGAGCTAGCTTGTTGTCCACCTGCACTCCAAGCACAACTATTTAATCCCCTCTCAAAATAATTTGCTGTGATGATGTTTAAGCTGATTGTGCAACAATTCCATAATACAGACTTGTTCCTTATCCCTTGTATGTTTCAGGCTTTGTGTGCCCTGCATACACACTGATGTCATTTTGGGATTTCCCATTTCATTGGCATGAAGGAGCGAGGTTCAGGAGGCATTAGTGATGTCCTCACTAAGCCGCGGGGCTCCCAGAAACTGATGATTAGTGGTGCACTTGTTCGACCTGAATTTATTACATATCTGGCTATGTTAAAAACAATAAAGAATAATAACAATGACAGCTGTAAAACCTAATTTATTACATGGGGAGGCACAGTGTGCTTAGTGTGTGTGCACATTTTAGGTTCTGCTTGTTACTGTGTTTTAACATCTCTTTGACTTAAACTTCAAACGTCAGATGTAATAGTAACCACCAAATGTCTACATGAATACTTTGTTGTGCATTTCTTGCCTGTATATAATGACTGCTTGTTCCCTAGGGATACATTATGTTTTATCTTATCAAGTTTTATCATATGTATGATATGTTTGTCTGTTTGTCTCATTATCTGTATATTTGTTTGAAATGTAATAAGGTACGATAGTCATTCTTGAAACTGTGTGTAATTTTGTGAAATGACAACATTTGAAAACTCCATCTTTAGTGCTTTTGTTTGATTACATTTGAGTTCTGCCACATTTAAAGTGGAAACAAAAAAAAAGCAATCACAATTGGTTAATGGCAATGTTTCCATTCCAAACTGCCCTGATGAACTCTGTGTGCTTTGATGTGATTGTATGTGATGTTCGTGGGTCATACAGAGTTCTTCCTTCTCGTCGCTGCCGTCCCCACAGTCGTCCTTCTGGTTGCACATCAGGCCGGAGTAGAGGCAGTAGCCGTTTGCACAGCGGAACCTGAACGGCAGCTCGCAGGTGACGCTCACTGTAACATATACAACACAAGTATGAGTTAAGACCAACCTCTGCCAGAACATATTATTAAAACACACAGCTATTTGGAATCATGTTTGCTTTTGAATTCTGCAGCTGTTTGTCTTGATATCTTTGTTGAATAGGTATAAGTTGTAATAAACAGGGGAGAGCAGTTGCAAAGAAAAACAGTTTGCTTTTACCTGCTCATTTATGAAACTAACTATTAATATGAGGATTAGGAAAATATGCTCAATCCTTTATATACACATTAGGATTAGGTTTAGAATTGTGCTGTACCTGAAAAATGCCTTAGGGTAGTTGATCAAACAACAAGAAATACAGAGAAAATACTTTTTCACAGGGCTTATATATATATATATATATATATATATATATAAATATATATATAAATAAAATGAAGGAAAGATTTCTCACAGCATAAAGTGAGCTGTTCGTCGGAGCGGTCCCCGCAGTCATCTTCTCCGTCACACACCCAGCTCTGGCTCACACACAGACGGTTCGCACACTGGAACTCATTCTGAGGACACCAACGGCCTCCTGGGTAACGAGTAGCTTTGGAGTAGGGAAAAAGATAAATGAACAGATTAACAATCTACAAATGATACCATTGGTAATCTCTTTTTCTGTTTTTGCTACGCCACTCATTGCTCTCGTTCAAACAGTCACACCCAAAAGCTGCGTAGTACAACCAGAGTCTTGCTTATGGCAACATTTGACTCATTATATTCTGGGATCAGGGCAGACACTCCACACCAAGCCACAGCTTCAACAGAAAGATGGGATTTTACGCCTTTTTTTTGGGAGGCTATTTGACTTTATTAGATTGTGGAAACAAAAAATATGACAAGAATCAAGATGGAGAAAGGAAATTGGAGTGACATGTGACAAAGGCTCCTTGCCAAACTTGAAATAGGAACATTGTTATTGATGTTCGATCGCATCCCCAGACCAAGTCTTATGGGTGCTTATAATGTACTGTGTTGTTCACTATCAAATTCAAATGTGGATAGAACTGTTAAACTGCTGACAGTCTGCCGCCTATTTGCTTGTTATATATGTATATTTCTGCATATTTAAAAAATGCTAATTAAAATGTATTAATACTAAGGGTATGCAGATACCTCATACACACCCACTCAGAACAACAACAACACACACATGCACTCAAACGCTGCAGGAGCCAGGCACTCTGCCATTACTCTCCTTGTTTCTACTCACGACAGCTGGTCTCATCCGACAGGTCCTGGCAGTCGGGCCGGCCGTCACACTGCAGCGCGGCGGGGACACAGTGACCTGAGCCACACTGGAAGGATCCTGGGCGACACGTCTGAAACTCTGGAGGAGAGCCAGGATGGTAACGAGTGTTGTTTATGACAGAGAATATTTCATTTTTTTTATTTATTTTTTTGCTCACCACAGTCCCGTTCATCCGAATTGTCCCCACAGTCGTTGTCATAGTCACAGACCCAGTTTCCAGGGATGCACTGTCCGTCGTCACATCGATGCTCACTCTCAGAGCAAGGCCTCGGCTCTATGGACCAGAATCACAATAACAGAGACACATATTTTGAGTATGAAATCAGAGTAAAGTCCTACTGGTCATGCATAATCTACACATGCTGAAACTAAAGCACGTTTTTTAAGGAGGGAGGTTAAGTCGTCATTAAGGAAAGGTTTATCAGTAAAAGTTTGCAAATGCCAGATTGTTTCACACCCCACAAATACATGACCGAGCTAAAGAGGAAAATATAACCCCTGAGGGAAACAGGATTCTTGCTGGGTTGGGATGGATTTAGCTGAAAGACATAGCGTATGACACTCACGGCAGTTCCTTTCATCCGAGCCGTCCCCACAGTTGTCGCTGCCGTCACACTGCCAGCGGATGGGGACACAGCGGTGGTTGTCACATCGGAAATCTCCCAGAGGATCACAGGTCACCTCCTCTGTTGGCAAACAAAGTCAGACACAGAATGACTGATTATTCAACATGTAGTCAATAAGAAAAAACTAAAGTGAGCCCATGTTTAAAACTCAAGATATGCTGTTGCAACACACAAACAATCTGATGTGCATCGTGCAAAGTGGTTAAGATCCCACATCACCTAGGATGGACTCTCGCCTTTAGCTTGAACTCTCTCCTTTGTTGTAAAGCAATATCCAATGTTTTTTGTACCTTGTTTATTAAATGCAGCTGTGGAAACATTATGTTGTTTCCCGTTTGCTTTTTCTAACATTTCTGTTCATCCTCAATAAACTCTATAACAGGGTATATGCAGGAATCCTGAAGTCAAATTTAAT